TGGCTGGCTGGCTGGCTGGCTGGCTGGCTGGCACACTCTTGACAGGTCTATCACTCCAAATAACACCTTTCCCAGTAGCCTTACCCTGAACCTAACCACTCCCACACTTGCCTACACACAACCAACCACCTCAGACACTCCAAAACAGTCAACATACAAACCTGTCCCAATCCACTCCAAATGGCCCCAAACGTGCTCCTAAACACTTTCTGAAAAATCCCATACTAGGGCTGACACTTTGAAATTTTCCAACAACCCATCGCCCCATTCACAATGAATGGACACACTCAAACGGGAATAACTCCGGAACCGAACGTCGCAGACACTTGGAAACGCGCTCCGTCTGCCATAATCCGACCCTTCTGAACACGCAGGACTTGTCCCCGAGTCTCTACGACCTACGGTTGCCGAGATACAAGGATTTTCACCTCTATTTCCGGAATTACGCCCACTTCCGGTTATCACCGGAAGTCGAGACTGACACCCAAAGAAGCGGAAGGAAAAAATGAACAGATTGAACCTGCTTTGAACTCTCTACAACCTTCCTGTGAGGAGAAACATGCTCATTAGACCAATGTCTAATGTTGCACTCATCCCTATTCCTATCGGGTAACCCTAACCCTAGCTTCCAAATGGCTGGCTGGCTGGCTGGCTGGCTGGCTGGCACACTCTTGACAGGTCTATCACTCCAAATAACACCTTTCCCAGTAGCCTTACCCTGAACCTAACCACTCCCACACTTGCCTACACACAACCAACCACCTCAGACACTCCAAAACAGTCAACATACAAACCTGTCCCAATCCACTCCAAATGGCCCCAAACGTGCTCCTAAACACTTTCTGAAAAATCCCATACTAGGGCTGACACTTTGAAATTTTCCAACAACCCATCGCCCCATTCACAATGAATGGACACACTCAAACGGGAATAACTCCGGAACCGAACGTCGCAGACACTTGGAAACGCGCTCCGTCTGCCATAATCCGACCCTTCTGAACACGCAGGACTTGTCCCCGAGTCTCTACGACCTACGGTTGCCGAGATACAAGGATTTTCACCTCTATTTCCGGAATTACGCCCACTTCCGGTTATCACCGGAAGTCGAGACTGACACCCAAAGAAGCGGAAGGAAAAAATGAACAGATTGAACCTGCTTTGAACTCTCTACAACCTTCCTGTGAGGAGAAACATGCTCATTAGACCAATGTCTAATGTTGCACTCATCCCTATTCCTATCGGGTAACCCTAACCCTAGCTTCCAAATGGCTGGCTGGCTGGCTGGCTGGCTGGCACACTCTTGACAGGTCTATCACTCCAAATAACACCTTTCCCAGTAGCCTTACCCTGAACCTAACCACTCCCACACTTGCCTACACACAACCAACCACCTCAGACACTCCAAAACAGTCAACATACAAACCTGTCCCAATCCACTCCAAATGGCCCCAAACGTGCTCCTAAACACTTTCTGAAAAATCCCATACTAGGGCTGACACTTTGAAATTTTCCAACAACCCATCGCCCCATTCACAATGAATGGACACACTCAAACGGGAATAACTCCGGAACCGAACGTCGCAGACACTTGGAAACGCGCTCCGTCTGCCATAATCCGACCCTTCTGAACACGCAGGACTTGTCCCCGAGTCTCTACGACCTACGGTTGCCGAGATACAAGGATTTTCACCTCTATTTCCGGAATTACGCCCACTTCCGGTTATCACCGGAAGTCGAGACTGACACCCAAAGAAGCGGAAGGAAAAAATGAACAGATTGAACCTGCTTTGAACTCTCTACAACCTTCCTGTGAGGAGAAACATGCTCATTAGACCAATGTCTAATGTTGCACTCATCCCTATTCCTATCGGGTAACCCTAACCCTAGCTTCCAAATGGCTGGCTGGCTGGCTGGCTGGCTGGCACACTCTTGACAGGTCTATCACTCCAAATAACACCTTTCCCAGTAGCCTTACCCTGAACCTAACCACTCCCACACTTGCCTACACACAACCAACCACCTCAGACACTCCAAAACAGTCAACATACAAACCTGTCCCAATCCACTCCAAATGGCCCCAAACGTGCTCCTAAACACTTTCTGAAAAATCCCATACTAGGGCTGACACTTTGAAATTTTCCAACAACCCATCGCCCCATTCACAATGAATGGACACACTCAAACGGGAATAACTCCGGAACCGAACGTCGCAGACACTTGGAAACGCGCTCCGTCTGCCATAATCCGACCCTTCTGAACACGCAGGACTTGTCCCCGAGTCTCTACGACCTACGGTTGCCGAGATACAAGGATTTTCACCTCTATTTCCGGAATTACGCCCACTTCCGGTTATCACCGGAAGTCGAGACTGACACCCAAAGAAGCGGAAGGAAAAAATGAACAGATTGAACCTGCTTTGAACTCTCTACAACCTTCCTGTGAGGAGAAACATGCTCATTAGACCAATGTCTAATGTTGCACTCATCCCTATTCCTATCGGGTAACCCTAACCCTGGCATAAATAACAGAAATGCTGCATCCAAAACAATCCTGACACAGCAGCTATTAGCCACAGTGGAGGCAGCTGAGGCTAAATTCCCTCAAGCGGCCGTTTGGGTCCCTTTAATCAATTATTCCCGTCACTTACCTCTCAAGGAGCAGTCCTGCCTGGTCCACCTCAACGCACACATCCAAAAAAACTGCCTCTTCATCCCCAGACTGCCCTCCAAATCTTTTGAAACTGGGGCAGATAACATACACTGGACAAAAGCCACCGCCAAACACATGTTTGACCACTGGACGGGGTATTTAAAATGCTCATCCCCATAAGCCTGCACTCTCAGGAGGGGTCAAAAAATGTACTGGTGTTATCACAGACATTCAAATTAACCCAGGCCCAGTTCACACTCCTGGACAGGGGCCTCTCTTTCATCCCCACTAGGGGGAGCCAGAGCCACATCATTGAGCAGAGCAGATGGGACCTGCAGCAATATCACAGAAGAATCAAACTCCATGTTTATTTTCAAAACAAAAAAGATGTGATTTTCACCCCCTTTACCCAAAAATCTGATTGGAGCCCCCCCCTGTCTAATTTGCCACCAGAAATCACTGACCTCATCCAAGCGGATATTCATTATTTTGAAAACAATTTCCAGCCAATTCCAATCAGGAACAATTTGAACCGGGAGGAAATTGAAGCCCTCAAGGAACTAAAAGAAAACAAAAATATAATCATAAAACCAGCAGATAAAGGCAGTGCAGTAGTGGTGATGGACAGGGAACAATATTTATTTGAGAGCAACAGACAGCTAACAGACAAAAAGTATTATTCTGTCTTAAAGGAACCTATCTACCCTGAAACTAAAAAAATGGTGCAACCAATTATCAAATCATTATTAGATAAAAAATTCATAAACAAAAAACAATACACTTACCTGCTGGGTAATCCGATCCCCCGGCCCAGACTGTTTTACCTGCTGCCCAAGATACATAAAGAGCCCTCAAAGTGGAGTGTCCCCTTTGAAATCCCACCTGGGAGGCCGATTGTCTCTGATTGTGACAGTGAGACCTACTACACGGCCCAATTTATTGATTATTATATCAATCCACTTTCTAACAGACACTTCGGCTATCTCAAGGACACGTACCACTTTGTCAATACTGTCAAACAACTCCATATCCCCCCCGACTCCATCCTGTTCACGATGGATGTCGACAGTTTATACACCAATATTGATATTGATGAAGGCATTCAGGCCATAAAAAACATATTTATAAAATTTCCAGACAAAAAGAGACCTGATAAGGAACTATTACAACTCCTGGCAATCAACCTGAGGAGGAATGATTTTGAATTTGACAATACATTTTATTTACAAATTAAAGGCACTGCCATGGGTAAAAAATTTGCACCGGCATATGCCAATATCTTCATGGCCGAATGGGAGACCTCCGCCCTGGCAGCCTGCAACAAAAAACCATTACATTATTTTAGATATCTGGATGACATCTGGGGGGTCTGGCCCCACTCTATGGAAGAATTTGACCAATTTGTACTCACCTTGAATAATCACAACCCGTCCATCACACTGAAGTCCACCACTAGCACCACGTCGGTCGACTTCCTGGATACCACCACCTACAAGGGGAGCAATTTCCAGCATACAAACAAATTAGACATTAAAGTTTTCTTCAAAGAAACAGACACCCATGCCCTGCTTTATAAAACCAGCCACCACCCCAAACACACATACAGGGGCCTATTGAAATCACAATTACTCCGTTTCCACCGTATCTGCACCCACAAAAGCGAATTCTTGGCGGCCACAAAAACGCTTTTCATAGCTCTCGCCACCAGGGGCTATGTACGCTCCTTCCGGCGGAAGGCCCTCAGCACCTTTCTGGAAACAAAACCAGTAGACACGTCGGATGTACTCCCCTTTGTCACCACCTATTCCAAGCCAGCAATCGCCCTGTGCAGAAAAATCAAGGACAATTTTCAACAAAAAATCATTGATCCAGGACTCCTAAATAACCACAGGTTCATAGTGGCCTATAGGAAAAACAAAAACCTCCAGGACTATCTGGTGACAGCCAAAATTAAGCCCCTATCGACCTCAAAACCCAGAGGCTATGGCCAATTTTTCGAACATGCCACCTGGATCCACAGCCATGTCAATAAAACAGTCCATAGGACCATGGCATGTGGTAATCCACACTCCAAAAATTGCGTGTATCTTATTTCATGTCTCATGTGCGGCCTACAGTATGTGGGCGAGACCAGAAACACGCTCTTACAGCGGTTCACCCAACACCGCTACAACATCCAGAGACGGAGGGAAACCCACACGCCTCTGGTCAGCCATTTTCTGGCCCATGGATGGTCGTCTGTCCGGGCCACGATCATCCAGATGGACCCCAGCTGGAACGCCACACAGAGAACCCGAGCTGAAAGGACATGGATAAGAAAATTAGAAACAATACACCCCAAAGGCCTCAACCTCAAATAAGAGCTTTCCTGATCTGGAGCAGGATGGCCCGTGCATGGAGCCTCGACACCGCTGCGCGGTGCCGAGACTCATCCACTTTCTCTATCCTAACACTCAAGCTGGACCTCTTGACCCATCCTGACTAACCCTAAATAAGAGGGTTAGGGTTAGGGTTAACTTTTAGATGTGACCAGGGTGAAAAATGAGGAACGCTTCACGAATTTGCGTAACCCTAACCCTAAATTTTGTTTTATGGAATCCATGTTTTTAAAGGATTAAAGTACTTTTACTTTTTTAACAGACAAGGAACCAGTGTTTTATCAGCGACTGTACTAACGGGACATCAGTCTCTTTCAAACGGATTTTAAAGGAAGCACCATGAGAAAGTGAGACAGAACAATGGACATACTGTGGTGAGTTTGTGGATTTTAGCAAATGTGTGCACACTGAAGACATTCCTCAAAAATTCACTACTTACTGGACTGTTTATCCAGAAGTGCCCTTTTTATCTGTTTTTATATGAGTCTGGGTGATGATAAATTAAAGAGGGAAAAACAAATTCCCCCTACCCACGGGAATCTACTCCCCTCCTTATTGGAAGATCTGGGCTCTTCGGAAACCTATAGCCCACCATCTGTACCTTTTTAAATCTTTTTTATAACACAGGTTCTCTCCCCCCTTTACAGCGGACCTACCTATTTTGTTTTATTCTTTTATTCCATCCCTTCTCTCCTTTTCTTATCTTTATTTCCTCACTATTTTTAACCTTACAGGCAACTCGTTTTTAAAAGAAAACTGTATTCAAAAAAATTTAATTTTCTCCTTACTTATTCCCCCCTCCTTGTTATTTCTACATTGGTTTTAAGCTCACTGTTTTGATTGTTTTTTAATTATCTTCTTTTATTTTGGTGGCTACTGCTGGCCCGTGGTTTGGTGCAGTAACCCTGTCCTTGCTGTGGAGGAACTAACGATTAGCTGGACTCTCCTATCACACAGTTTCTCCAACTTCACAGCAAACATGCCAATAACTACCAGTAACCGCTTTGCACCACTGGCTGCTCCGCCTGGGGGCGGGAGCGGTATAAGTCCGGATCCCTTGCCCTCCCTCCAGAGCGGGACAGTCTTCCTCCTACTTCCAATAAACCACCCACAGATACACATTTACAGACAAAGAAATATTTCAAATTACTCCAGGCCATTCATCACTCAGAAATCCTCAATACAACATTTTCTACGAACACATTTCCACTTCCACTTCCATTTCCAGGGGATGATGCGTAAGGTGCATAGGTTAACATCATTCATCAAACCATCATCCCCTAATGACAACCCTTACAATAAAGTTAAACTTAATACTGACACATGGATGCAAAACAACATGTTAATATTACGAGAACACTATGATGCTGTCATTGCTGTGGAGTTGGAGAACCCCACGCCCCTCTGCCAACAATCATTTGAAAAATCAGTCCAGTGGGGAAGAACGTGCTACAGGAGGAGGCTGACCTCCTCCTCTGTTAGAACACTGAGGGACCTGTTAATCAGGGGCCCCCAGACGGAGTTGAACACCTCCCCACCTCGCCTCTCCCCATTGGACTTTCCACCACTACCAGAACCAGCAGGCACTTCACTTTTTTTTACCAATCATCCCTGCACTCTCCCCCCTTCACTCCCTAAACCCTCTCCTCCCTCTATCTCTAACCTTAACTCCCCTCCAAAACCTCTGCTTCTCTTTCCACCCCCAACTCCCCTCACCCTCGCTCCCCTCCCCCCACTACCCAACAACCAGATAACTCGGACCCCTGTACGCCAGGGGGACCCGAACCGGGGGCTGGCATGGGGTGCCTGCAACCGGTCCAGCTGCCAAAGCGCAACCCGAGACGGTCTGTAAAGGTCGTCCTACACCAAGTCCCAAGGGAAAAACTACTCTGTCTCGGGGTGACACGGGTTGGTTCCCTTGCCTGCCCTCGACCTCCGGGTCCCCCCCTTCATTCTCCCCCTCACATAGTACCCACTACACATTACTCTGAGCAACCACAGTCCATCAGTAATGTTGCTCTACCCTGCAGTAATACTATTTCATCCTCTCCACCTACATATGAAATTACACCACACCAGCAGCAGAGGGAGCCAGTTCTATTGGCCACAGAGTCATCACATAGCCATCATTCTTAAAAAACTCACACCCATACATAACACACAACAGGTTGTCCTTTCTGTTGGACTCAACAACTGCCTCCAGGAACAGGAGCCTACCACCACCTGGAAGCAGTTGCAGCAGTTACTAAAAATCAGTCACTTCATTTTTCCTAACACCACCATTTACATCCCCATCATAAATTTCTCCAGCAGGTTGGACATTGAAAAGAAGGATCTACTCACCAAACTGAATCAACTGATAGCAACCAAATGCACGTTCCTCCCTGAAATTAACCCCCTTCTCTTTCAGATCTGTCCCAGGGACATCATCCACTGGACACCCAACACAGCACAACTCATCTTCAAATATTGGTTGCAACAGCTAAACTTGTAACGGGGGGCTATTGTTCAAATACAACCCCCCTCCACTCAAATATCACCAATCTTTCCTGCACACTCAGTTTAACAGCCGCACAGCTGGAGATACTGGAGAAAGGACTCACCTTCATTCCAATACCTAAACCTCCAACCCGGCCGGAGCTCAGGGGGGACCTCCACATCTTCCATAGGAGGCTTAAATTAATGGACCACTTTTATGGAGCACAGGGGCGGGAGCCTGTGCTTTTTACCAGACCGTCCCACTGGGAACCACACAGACAACATTTCACCAGAAATCAGATCATTAATAGACAGGAACACACACGCACTTAGGGAATGGCGCCCCCTTACACATAGATGGGCAAACATCACACAAACACAACAACACATTATTAAAACATTAGGTATTAACACACACATAGTTATCAAACCAGCAGACAAAGGGGGCGAAATAGTCATACAAGATAGAAACAATTACATTTTAGAAGTTAACAGACAGCTTAACAATACTACTTATTACAAACCACTCACACACTCATTACAATTAGAAACCCAGACTTTAATTAGGAACATTACTATACAACAGAGAATTCAACAATGCAAAACAAAAGAAATATCTGGATGGTCCGAGTGAGCTCAGGCCTCGCCTCTTTTACATCCTCCTAAAAATCCACAAGTCTCCTGAGACGTGGACGGTCCCTTCTGTTGTTCCGGTTGGTCGCCCTATAGTCAGTGACTGCGGCTCGGAATCATATGCAATTACAGATACATAGACCATTTTATCAATCCACTCTCCAAACTTCACCCTAGTTATGTTAGGACACATATGCATTTGTTAATACAATAAAACACCTCCAGGTACCCAGTCACACACTCCTTTTCACAATATAGAATCTTTAATCACCAACTGCCATCAACAGTTATCAGTGGCTCTCCAAGTTCAGGGACTTCTGCCAGTGTAAACTTAGAGATATGTTTAGACTGTTCTTCTGCTATCAATCTTCATCAGTTAACTTCAATCATTTCTTCATCGAAGCCATCAACCTGTCTATTAGACCCGATCCCAACTAGGCTGCTTAAAGAAGTTGTTCCCTTAATTGGCACTTCTTTACTGGATATGATTAATCTTTCTTTATTATCAGGATATGTACCACAGTCCTTTAAAGTAGCTGTAATTAAACCCCTTCTTAAAAAGCCCACTCTTGACCCAGGGGTTTTAGCCAACTATAGACCGATTTCTAACCTCCCCTTCCTCTCTAAGATTCTGGAGAAAGTAGTCGCCAAAGAGTTGTGTGACTTTCTACATAACAATAGTTTATTTGAGGATTTTCAGTCAGGATTTAGAGTTCATCACAGCACAGAGACAGCTCTGCTTAAAGTTAATAATGACCTTCTGATTGCTTCTGACAATGGACTTGTCTCTGTACTTGTATTATTAGATCTTAGTGCTGCATTTGACACCATTAACCATAATATTCTTTTACAGAGACTTGAGCATCAAATTGGCATTAAAGGAACCGCACTAAGCTGATTTAAGTCATATTTATCAGATTGCTCGCAGTTTGTACATGTTAACGATGAATCTTCAATAAATACTACAGTTAATCATGGAGTTCCACAAGGTTCTGTACTTGGACCAATACTATTTACTTTATATATGCTCCCTTTAGGAAACATTATTAGGAATCACTCCATTAACTTTCACGGTTATGCAGATGATACGCAGTTATATCTATCAATCAAGCCCGATGAAATTAATCAATTATCTAAATTACAAACATGTCTTCAGGACATAAAATCCTGGATGACCTGCAATTTTCTGATGTTAAACTCAGAAAAAAACTAAATTCTTGTTCTTGGCCCCAAAAACCTTAGAGACTCACTGTCTAAAGATATAGTTACTCTAGATGGCATTAACTTGGCCTCTAGCACCACTGTCAGGAATCTTGGAGTTATCTTTGATCAGGATTTGTCATTTAACTCCCACATAAAGCAGACCTCTAGGACTGCCTTCTTTCATTTACGTAATATTACAAAAATTAGACACATACTATCACAGACAGATGCAGAAAAACTAATCCATGCATTTGTTACTTCAAGGCTGGATTACTGCAACTCTTTATTATCAGGTTGCCCCAACAAGAACATTAAAATGCTCCAATTAATTCAGAACGCTGCAGCACGAGTACTGACAGGAACTAGAAAAAGAGATCACATCTCTCCTGTACTAGCTTCTCTGCACTGGCTCCCTGTAAAATGTAGAATAGAATTTAAAATCCTCCTCCTCACCTATAAAGCTCATCATGGTCAGGCCCCTTCATATCTTAAAGAGCTCATAGTACCCTATTACCCCACTAGAACACTACGTTCTCTGAATGCTGGGCTACTTGTGGTTCCTATAGTCTCTAAAAGTAGAACAGGAGCCAGAGCCTTCAGTTACCAAGCTCTTCTCCTGTGGAACCAGCTTCCAGTTGTGGTTCGGGAGGCAGATACCCTCACCACATTCAAGAGTAGGCTTAAGACATTCCTCTTTGATAAAGCTTATAGTTAGGGTTGGATCAGGTGAGTCCTGAGTCAATGGTGCACTGAGCTCCT